ACGTGTCTATTTAGAGGACAAGCCAGTGTGGGCAAAGGCGGATGCTCCTCTCGAGGTACAGGTCCCCCAGTCCGTTCTGTTCGGCGCGAAGAAGTTATTCGTCTCGTGGGGGTTCGAGAAGAAAGCGTTCTGGGTGGACCCGGAAGCGGGCGCGATGAAGATGGGGCCCGAAACCGTGATGGAGGCGAGCGTGACGACGGGAACGTTGAGCATCAAGTACGGCGACGGCTGGGAGCAGTACCTCATCGCAGACACGAAGTGGCAAGGGCTTCTAAAGACGCACTCAGACAAGCTCCTGCGCGGCGGCACTGGCAAGGGTAGTGGTAAAAAGGGCAAAGGCGGGTGTACGGCAGGACATCCACCTGCCCCAGCAGTTGCAGGCGGCCGCAGCTAGGGACAAGGGGTACAGGAGACGTTTCACCAGAATTCAATGTTATGTTTAATTGTGCTTTTAACGTTTACGACAAAAACGCACGCGTACATACCCTTGATCGGCTAGGGCTTTTGCTTGGGGAGCTTCCGGAACTAAAGTGGGATGTTGTTTGTCTTAGTGAAACCCGTGCAACGTCTGATGATATTGATCTCGACGGGGGCCACCGCTTCATAGCGGCAGCGGGCTCGTCTAGATACGCTGGGGTGGCGATCTGCGTACATGCTCGGCACGCGGGAGGCGTCACAGCCACGCGTTCGCGTTTTGGCCGTGTGCTGGCAGTAGACATTAATATAAATGGCATTGCCTGCGCGCTCTTTTCTGTGTTCATGCCACACGCGGGATACCCGCATGCCGATTTACTTGATTGCTACACGTTTTTACAACAAGAGGTCGAGTTCGCTAGGAGGCGACGCCGAAAAATATGCATTGCAGGTGATTGTAGCACCCAGTTTCACTTTGGAGAGAGAGGGCGTCTACTGCAAGCATTTTGTTTCGAGAACGGCCTTGAGGCCGGCAGCGTGCAACACGCGCCCGATGCATGGACTTTTCGAAGCTCGTTTGGTGCCAGGCGGGTTTTATATTACATGTTGCTTGATGCTTCTTTCAATTGCCATTCTCGCTCACCGAGAGACTATTTAGATCTGGGTTCTGATCACCGTGCGGCGCACGGGACGTTCAACCTAGGCCCAAGTTGTCGGCGCCAGAAAAGCCGCCAGCACGATGCGATTAGATGGAAACCTTCGTTCAACGCCGAAGGCCGCGATTTGTCATACGAGAGCGTTGAGCAGGAATCCCTCTCTCAATCTAGGCCGCCCTCACTCTTTGCACTGGAGGGCCACGTTGCTGCCGCAGCCAAGCGGGCTGGAGCGCAAAGTGACGCAACTCGCTCGCATGCGAAGCCATGGGATGCACCTGAGTTGCGAGAGATGCGTCAACAGCGACGCGATGCACGTGACCCACAGGAACGGCCCAGATTGTCCAAGCTGGTTTTTCCAGAGCGCCGGAAACGCACGCGGGAGTATTGCGATGCGCGTGCTGAGTCGCAATTGTTGAATTTTGAGGGCATCAAGCATTTACCTCGAGCGCGCATGTTCCCTTCGCAGCAGGGCAAGCGTTGTCCATTAGACCGCAATGCTTTAAAGCTTCGCTCGAGCAGATTTTTGCCACGGACTGCGGCGCTGCCAGGAACGAGTCGGCCGAAGCGCATTGCCACAGAGACTCGTACAACATTCCACCATTTTGCATGAAGGAGTTGCGGCAAGCTTTTAAGCGCATGAAACGCGGGTGGTGCGCAGATAAACGCGGCGTCACTTTCGAAATGTTTGTTTGTGGAGGCGATGCTCTTCACAGGCACCTTTTTGTCATGTTTGAATTCGATGCTCAGCACGGGATGCATCGATCCCACCTGGCAGGAAACGCGTTTTGTCATGCTGCCGAGGACGGGGAACAAAACTGATGTAAAACAACTGGCGCCCCATAGCCATTTTACGCATCACATATAAGAGATTTGCACGGTTACTGTTTGCACGCTTGCAGCCTGATCTAGAGAAAGAGCAAACGCATGACCAAGTAGGATTCCGTCCAGGCCGCTCCGTGGACGAAGCTTGTGTCGTTCTTGAGGATCTGTCCCCGAAAGCTTGGGAGTGGCAGCTCCCGCTGTGGATCGCTAACATTGACCTCGCGAAAACTTTCGACAGGCTGGAACACCACGTGACTTTCCAAGCATTGTCGGAGCAGGGAGCTCATGCAGAATATGTGGGCCTCTTGTCACAGATCTACAGCGCCCAATGGTGCAGCGTCAATGGAAGTGAAGCGTTCGACAGTACACGCGGCGTCTAGCAAGGAGACGTTTTGTCTTCATTGTTTTTAAACGCCAGTTTGGAACACGCAACTCGGAGGTTCAAGTTGCGTGCTCGGCAGTGCGGCTTTGACGTTGGAGGCGTCAGCTTGCTTAGCAACATACGTTGCGCCGACGATATTTTGATATATGCGCGTTCTGCAGCAGAGGTTTGCCGCATGCTGTACATTCTTCCGGAAGAATTGTCAGCGTGTGGCCTCTCATTAAATGCAGACAAAACGCGAATATGTACTAACGACGTAGTTGTTCCCACTGCTGCAGAGCCCGCCGTTCTGCAGCTTGCCTGTTGTCAGTTGCCGGTTATGACGTCCCAGGTGTTTCACAAATACTTAGGTAAGAAATTCGGGGGCGATTTGCGAAACAGATCAGAGTGCAGTTTGAGCTATCGCATCGAGTGCGCATGGGGGAAGTTCCTTTTCCCAGAAGGCGGTACTTTTGAGCCGATCTATATCTTTGCGCCTTCGTCTGAAGCTCTTCGACGCGATTGTGACGCCCACGGCTGAGTCACGGCTGTTTACGGTCTTTCGACAACATCCATGACAGCACAGCAGCGGTCACGAGTTGCATCGGCGCGTTCAAAAATGCTCCGCCGGATATTTGGTTCCAGCATGCTTCCCCACGAAAGTTGGGAGGAAGCGGGGCGACGCACCAAACCGAAAGCAACCGCTGCTTTGAAGATTTTTCCTGTGTCGGACTGGCTCGTCGTGCTGGATCGTTCAATGTGGCGCCTCGTGGCACGACTCGCCACCGGCGACTCGCAAGAATGGCCGGCGCAAGTTCTACGGCGGCGTCCGGCCGGCGTCAGACGCCGAGGGCGGCCACGTTTAAGATGGACAGATGCCGTCGATTCATTTCTGCGACAAGAGCAGGGCACAAATATACTCAATGTGGTTCGCAGCCAGGAGCCGTTCCCTTGGCAGCGGGTGGAACAGCATTTTCTAGATGTCATGAAGAGCGACTGATGTATATTATGGGTAATTTAACGATGCCTTGTCCACTACTATTCTCTTGCGTGCGCGCTTTGTTGCCGTAGTGTCTCACGCCCTCCGGCTCCGCTTGCGGAGCGAGGTGCCTCCATGGCCCCTCGACCAAACTTGACTTGACCTGGGAAAGGAGTTTTGGGAACACGAAGAACACGAAGTGGCCTACAGTTGGCTCCAGGCATTCAAAATGTGGTCTGGTAATGGTGTTCTGGGAAGACGAAGAACACGAGTGGCCTACAGTTGGCTCCGGGCATTCAAAATGTGGCCTGAGAATGGTGTTCTGGGAACACGAAGAGTAGGAATCCATAGGAAACTATAGGAATCTACAGGAGTCCTGGGGAGTCCCCGGGTTCCCCAGCTTGTCCCGGCACCCGCCCAGACCCCCCTGGGGAGTCAAGATGCTTTCTTTTGAACCCACTAGAAACCTATCAGTCTTCGCTGTTAGGTAAAAAATCCACCCCCGAGGGGACTCCGAATCGACATCGTCTTGGAATCGCTCCGGGAGGGCTTTCGAACGGCCAAAAGGAAATTCAGAAGACGCCCCCGGAGGGCCCCTGGAGCACCCAAGAGGGCCCTAAGAGGGCCCCAAGAGACCCCCAAGAGCGCTCCAGAAGGCTCAGAAAAGCCCCAAGACGGGCCAAGAGGGCCACAAGAGATTCTGGGGAGCGGCCCAGGAGGCCCACAAACGGCCCAAGAAAACCCCAAGTCGGCCCCTGACGGCGCCGAGACGGCCCAAGAAAGATCCCAAAGAACTCCACGACGCGCCCAGACAGCCAAACAAGACCCCAGAAGCCCACAAGAGGACCTAAGAGGCCCCCAAGAAGCCCCAACAGGCCCCAAGATAACCCCTCGCGGCGCCAGGAGCTCCCAGGGTAGCCCGATAGGGTCACTAGGACCCTCTTCTGATTCAAAGTCCTTCTCCAATTGCCTCTTACTGTCCTCCGTCGTCGTCGTCGTCGTCGTCATCGTCCTCCGCATTCCTCCTCGTACTCGCCCTCGTTATCTTCGTCATCCTTGCGCTTCTCTTCATCCTCGTTGTCCTCATGCTCCTCCTCGATATCCTCACGTTCTCCACGTAGTCCTCGTCATCGCCTCCTCGTCGCCCTCGCCTTCCTTTTCTTTTTCTTCTTCTTCGCCCACTAAGCCCATTGGACTGAAGCGGCGCTTCCCGTTCCTGTCCGATCAGGTTCCGGAGAAAAAAAAGGTTTCGCTCGAGGCATTCTGAAAAACAAGAATCGACTCTGGAGGGGACTCCGAATCGACGTCGTCTTGGAGTCGCTCCCAGAGGGGCTTTCGAGCGGCCCGAATTGGAGGTCCAGAAGACGCCCCCGGAGGGCCCCTGGCGCGCCCCAGGGCGCCCCAAGAGGGCCCCAAGAGACCCCCAAGAGCGCTCCAGGAGGCACCCAGACAGCTCAGAAGCAGCGGCCCAAGACGGGCCAAGACGGGCCCCAAGTTACCAGCCTCGAACGTATCCTTATCCCTTCGATTGACACGCCCAAAGGCGATGACAATCTTAGGGATCCGCCCTCAAAAAATAAGGGAATCCCTAAGATTGGCATCGTGATGAGGAGGTGCCCAGCATAGGGATAGGGATATGTTCCAGGCTGGTAACCAATGGCTCCCTGGAGCACCCGCAGGAGGCCCCCAAGCGGCCCAATGAAGCCCCAGGACGGTCCCAGATGGCGCCGAGACGGCCCAGGAAAGCTCCAAACAACACACCGCGGCGCGCCTCCGTAGCAATGTTGGCTCAAGCTGTCTGGCTCCTGCCGTCAGAGAGTGCAAGCCATGAGAAATGTCTAACTGTACCCGTGAGGCTCTTGCAGGAATGTTAGCAGTGAAGGCCCGCTGTCGCAGGATACTATTGATAGGTGTTGTTGCCGTCTATGGTGTGGACTCTTTATGTCTATCATATGCCGACCTCGTCGTGCCTAATGGTGCGGAATCTGGCGGGCCTTGCAAGGGCGAGGACCCTTCAAGTGCGAATGCCTCTTATTATGGCACCGCGGTTGTGATTTGCCCGGGGGTCGAAACCATTCCGGACTATGCGTTTCAAGCATGCTCTGCGCTGACCGATGTGGAGTTGCCAGATTCTCTGAGCACCATCGGGAATTATGCTTTCGAAGAGGCGGGACTTGTCAATGTCACTATCCCTGACAAGGTGATGTATATTGGATGGTTTGCTTTCTACAACTGTGAGGATCTATCCAGAGTTACGCTCCCGAGCTCACTGGCAACCATCGGGATTTGGGGCTTTAAAGGTACCGCGCTGGTGGAATTGACCATCCCAGCGTCTGTCACAGAAATCGGGGTCAGTGCTTTGGACGTTGCCACGCTGACCACGGTGTATATGCTTGGACATGACGTGGAGGCGGTGGCTGGATTCACAGGCGCTTTCGGTGCGTCTGATCCTACGATCGTGGCGGGCACCCGCGCGGCGACCAGCACCTGGTCCTCTACCACCGGGAGCTCTACAACCTCATTGACCTCAACGTCCAGGTCGTCCTCGTCCACGGCTTCGACTACGACAATGATATCTAAGATTACGTCCACCACGACGATGACGTCAACAACGCCGACATCCACCACGACCCTGACGACGTCCACTGAAACCTCATCCACCGTCACCTCTTCGATCAGCGCAACCAGCACCACTTGGACATCCACCTTCACCATAACTTCGGCCACGACGATCACGACCTTGGTATCGACAACGGATACGTCAGCCACGATCTCCTCTACTTTGACATCAACATCCGAGACTTCCACCACCGAGAGTTCTACCGTTTCCTTGACCCGAACTTCCGCGTCCTCCACCACGGAGGGTTCTACCACTTCCTTGACCTCAACATTTCAGTATTCCACCACCTGGAGCTTCACCACCTCCTTGACCTCAGCGTCTGAGTCATCCACCACCGTGTCCTCTACAACGACTTTGACTTCAACAACGGAGACTTCCACCACCAGGAGCTCTACTACCTCTTTGACCTCAACCACCGAGGCCTCCTTTTCTTTGACCTTATCATCTGAGTCATCCACCACGGAGAGTTCTACCACTTCCTTGACCTCAACGTCCGAGTCTTCCACCACCTGGAGCTCTACCACCACCTTGACCTCTACCATAACCTTGACCTCAACGTCCGAGACATCCACCACAGGGAGATCTACCATAACCTTGACCTCAACGTCCGAGTCTTCCATTACGGAGACTTCTACGACTTCTCTGATTTCAACGTCCGCAACCTCCACCACGGAGAGTTCTACGACTTCCTTGACCTCAACGCCCGAGTCATCCACCACCAGGAGCTCTACATCTACCTTGACCTCAACGTCCGAGTCATCCACCACCTGGAGCTCTACCACCTCCTTGACCTCAACGTCCGAGTCTACCATTTCTTTGACCTCAACGTCCGAGTCTACCATTTCTTTGACCTCAACGTCCGAGTCTTCCACCACCTGGAGCTCTACCACCACCTTGACCTCTACCATAACCTTGACCTCAACTTCCGAGACATCCACCACCGGGAGCTCTACCACCTCCTTGACCTCAACGCCCGAGTCTTCCACCACCGGGAGCTCTACAACCTCATTGACCTCAACGTCCATGTCCCAGGGGCAACGATAGGGGGGATAGGCATAGGGGAGGTTGCATCGACCCCAATTGCCCATTGATCGCCGATAGGGGCTCGATAGACCCAACCTGCCCAGGAAGGGGCGGATTTACTATCGGAAGCCTATCGCCGATCTACCGACGATGTATCGCCGATTACAGGTCAATGCATCCCCCCTATGCCTATCCCCCCCTATCGTTGCTCCTCAAGGTCGTCCTCTTCCACGGCTTCGACTACGACAATGATATCTAAGACTACGTCCACCACGACGATGACGTCAACAACGCCGACATCCACCACGACCCTGACGACGTCCACTGAAACCTCATCCACCGTCACCTCTTCGATCAGCGCAACCAGCACCACTTGGACATCCACCGTCACCATAGCTTCGGCCACGACGATCACGACCTTGGTATCGACAACGGATACGTCAGCCACGATCTCCTCTACTTTGACATCAACATCCGAGACTTCCACCACCGAGAGTTCTACCGTTTCCTTGATCTCAACTTCCGCGTCCTCCACCACGGAAAGTTCTACCACTTCCTTGACCTCAACGTCCGAGTCTTCCATCACGGAGACTTCTACGATTTCTCTGACCTCAACGTCCGCGACCTCCACCACGGAGAGTTCTACGACATCCTTGACCTCAACGTCCGAGTCTACCATTTCTTTGACCTCAACGTCCGAGTCTTCCACCACCTGGAGCTCTACCACCTCCTTGACCTCAACTTCCGAGTCTTCCTCCACCTTGACCTCTACCATAACCTTGACCTCAACGTCCGAGACATCCACCACCGGGAGCTCTACCACCTCTTTGATCTCAACTTCCGAGTCTTCCTCCACCTTGACCTCTACCACAACCTTGACCTCAACGTCCGAGACATCCACCACCGGGAGCTCTACCACCTCCTTGACCTCAACGTCCGAGACATCCACCACCTGGAGCTCTACCACCTCCTTGACCTCAACGTCCGAGTCTACCATTTCTTTGACCTCAACGTCCGAGTCTACCATTTCTTTGACCTCCACGTCCGAGTCTTCCACCACCTGGAGCTCTACCACCACCTTGACCTCTACCATAACCTTGACCTCAACTTCCGAGACATCCACCACCGGGAGCTCTACCACCTCCTTGACCTCAACGTCCGAGTCATCCACCACTTGGAGCTCTACCACCTCCTTGACCTCAACGTCCGAGTCTACCATTTCTTTGACCTCAACGTCCGAGTCTTCCACCACCTGGAGCTCTACCACCACCTTGACCTCTACCATAACCTTGACCTCAACTTCCGAGACATCCACCACCGGGAGCTCTACCACCTCCTTGACCTCAACGTCCGAGTCATCCACCACTTGGAGCTCTACCACCTCCTTGACCTCAACGTCCGAGTCTACCATTTCTTTGACCTCAACGTCCGAGTCTTCCACCACCTGGAGCTCTACCACCACCTTGACCTCTACCACAACCTTAACCTCAACGTCCGAGACATCCACCACCGGGAGCTCTACGACTTCTTCGACCTTAACTTCTACAACAGTGACATCAACTTCGACGAGTTCCACGACATTCACTTTGACCTCAACCACTGTGTCATCAACAAGCGAGACCTCAACGACCGCGTCTTCCACCACCACAGTTTCCATCACCTCCTTCACTATCACATCGACGCTGACATCGACTACACAGACGTCATCCACTCTAACTTCAACCAGCGAGACGTCGACTTCCGCGACTTCCAGCACCACCTTGACAGCAACGTCGACGCTTACTTCGACCACAGTGACGTCGACATCGGAGACTACCGGCACCACCACGATGACGTCGACATCGGAATCCTCCACGACGACCCTGACGACGACCCTGACGTCGACATCGCAAACCTCCACCACGACTCCGACAACAACCACGTCCCTGTCGTCTACGACGTCGTTTCACACGACCACCGAGTCCCTCACATCAACATCGACCTTCACCGAATCGTCATCCAGCATCACGCACAGCAGCACGACGGCGACCCCTGAGCGCTACTCTGAGGTAAAGGGCAGCATGTCGTTCACCCTGTTCAGCGCTTTCTACATCCTCAGCGAAGGCGAAGTGGCCGCCGTCAAGCGGGCCGCACTGGCGTCCTACCTAGACGTCGCCGAGTCGCTGGTCACCATTGATTCCGTCACGTCCTCAGCGAGCCGGCGGTCGGTGGCAAGGATTGGGTCCACGCTTTATGCCGTTGGCTACACTGTCCAAGTTCCAGGCACTGCTCATGAAGATGTCACAAATTCCTTGCGGAATTTGACCATCGATCCCAGCTTGTTTGACCCGTTTTTGAATGATGTGTTTGGGGCCAATGTCGTTTACTCTGCCTCGAACATTTCGACTAACGTCGTTTCGGCAAGCGAACCCACAGTCGAACTGTGGATGTATACCACGGCGACGGGTACGTCAACAACGGGAACGTCTACGACGTGCTGCGAGTGTCCTCTTCCTGACGCTGAGGTCCCCGTGGGGGTCGCTGGGCCCGATTTTCAGAGCACGTCAGACCTGCCAGACCTGCTCCGCATCGAGTGCTCAGGGACCAAGTGGTTCGACACGTGCGATCCTGTCTGTGCACCAGGCTATGTCGCGGCGGGGTCGATGGTCTGCAGCAGCGTGACCGAGGCGTTCGAGGGCTCCGCCTTTTGCGAGCCGGGTGTCTGCGCCGGCGGTCCGGGTGTGGAGCTGCCGGAGGGCTACGAGCCATGGGTTCCAGCCTGCGCGAATATGAGCTTCTTGGAGAAGTGCAACGTCTCGTGCGCCAGCGGCTACGAGAACCTGGGGGACCAAATCCAGCTCGAGTGCACGGCGTCGCTGGTCTCCAACTTCACCAGCAGCTCGGGGGCCTGCACGGAGAGGAGTCAAGCAGTGGCGAAGCGTCCTGGCTCGCCTATAGCCCTACCAAACAATGTTCTAAGAACCTTTTGCGTGGTTTCCACGAAATGTTCTTAGAACACTTCTGGTTGAGATTGTCTTGTTTTATCACATCGGGATTATGTTCTAAGAACATTGTTTTGGTTATTAGAACAGTTTGGGGTTCTAAGAACATTTCGTGGTATGACTATAGGCATGCCGGGACGGTCGGTCCCTGCTCAAAGGAGGTGTTACGCGGACTCGGTGCCAGAGATGCCCTTCGTGGTCGACAGCTCCTCCTGCGTCGGCATCGCCAGCGGCGAGAGTTGCTCGCCAGTGTGCGAAGAATCGCACCATCTCGTCGAGCCGATCAAGTGCAACCGTGGCAGCTTCGACCACCTGACGAGACCGATGATATGCGTCAACCTTTCGGATATGGAAGCGCTCGAGCAGACGGAGGTCTTGACTGTGGAGATGGCGATCACGGGTCCAGGCCTGACTGCTGAGTGGACAAACGACGATTTGGTCAAGGGCGCGCTCAGGAGCTCACTAAGTAGCACCTTTGGAGTGCTCGTAGGCCAGACTATCCTGTTGAGCCTAACGGATATACATTCTGGTGAGGTCATTCAGTGGGGTGGATGGAGACGATTGTCGATAGAGGATGGTTTCAGTTTTTCAACGATGTTCGTGCCAAATGCACAATTCAACCTGTCCGACGTGACTGCGACAATAAGCAGTGTCAATTCAGACCATGATGCATTCACCAGCGCATTTGCCTTAGCACTTGAGACTGCCGGCGTCGGTGTCCCGCCAGGCCTCGCCGATGCCACCATCCACGTCTCCGAGCCCACGTATTACGTCGCCACCCTTCCGATAGCGCGCTGGGTGGCGCGCACAAATTGGACGGAGTGCAGCACCACGTGCGGCAAAGGAGAGCACACCCGGTTAGTAGAATGCTTGACTGGCGAGGAGGTCATGTGCAACGCCAACGCGGCGCCAGGGTTCACCATGACGTCGTTCATGCCCACCACCGACCCGTGCGAGACGTACATCCTGTGCCCCTACGACTGGACCTGTCCCTCCGGCCCGGACCCCGTGACAGGTGAAGGTTCAGGAGGGGAAAAAACACACAGACACAATCAATCGTCGACTTCCCAGAAAATATGGGAAAATATGGGAAGTGGGTGGGAAGACAAAAACCCAGAAAATATGGGGAATATTTTTATTTGTGTGTATTTATCTGTGTGTCCTGGGGCCCCTTCAAAGGTTGTGAAGGTCAGGCCGCGGGTGTTGTGATTGCGATGGTTGTGGCTATCGTGCTTGTGATTTTCGTTGTAGCGCGGTACTGCTGGATCATGACTCGCGTGCCAACGCGCGGACGCATGAGGCTTGCCGAGGAGCTCGCCGGCAGGAACTCCGTCGAGTGGGAGAGGGAGGATTCGACTAGACGTAAGAGTGACCTTTCGCCGGAGTGACCTTTGGTGTGGGCACAGATGGGCCCTCAGATGGCTGAAAACGAAGCGGTAGCAGCGGCTTGCGCGCCCAAGTTTGGTCCCCCCGCGGCCCCCAAAAAGCCGCGCACCAAAGGTCACTCTTACCCAGGGTCACTCTTGCGTGTAGCCGAAGGATGGCGTCATAGCCCAGGACGGCATCCGGAAAGACAGGATGCTCTACAAGCTCGACGATGAGGTGATGAATCAGTTCGTAGATGATGAGGTTCAGCGCGCACGCGGATGTGCTACTTTGGTTCCCCTCGACGGCCACGCCGACGAGATCGGGCAAGTGGATTTGGATTTCAGTGGTTCAGTGGACTTCGAGCTTCGGATGACGGTGAGAACTAAAGCCAAGGAGGCGCTACTCGTCGGCAAAGTGTACCGCCGAGGTGAGACGTCATTAGACATCGGTAAGGCGAAAGCCTTGGTGATCAAGCAGGGCATCCCTGCTTGGCAGGTTGGTGAGGAATCTTTCGCGGGAGCAACACATATCGCCGATGGTCAGCAGCACCAGCTCTCGATCTCGTACTCCGCTGAGCAGGATACGTACATTCTCAAGGTCGACGGCACCGAAGAAGCCAGGGGACCTTGCGGCGTCGCGGACAATCCGGATACTGTTCTCGTCCTCGGCACCGCGAGTGCGCATAGTGAAGATGCGTTCAACGAATGTCAGCCTCTTGTCGATGAGCTGCGGGACATTGGCATCGAGATGCTTGTCCTGGAGGATCGGAGAGAAGAGCCCGTCTTCAAGGGCGATCTCGACGACCTCATTTGGAGTGAGTGTCGCTGGGACCGGGCCCTCGGCCAGATGGCATGGGTGGACTACGATTTGTACATCGACACCGAGGAGAGGGTCGGCAGCATGATGTCAAAGGAAGCGACAGAGGGGGCGAAACATACGACCGACGTGCAGTCGGTCCCCAGCGTGTCCCAACAAGTTTTCCAAAGGGGTCAGACCGTAGAGTACTGGTCGAAGACCATCCAGGCATGGCTTCCAGCCACGGTCACCAGTGTCAGGGGCACGCACTACGACCAGACCCTGCAATTCAGCATGCACACCTACGACGTCTTCGTGGTCGCGGCAGAGCAGAAGGTGCCTGGCGTGAGCATGGTAGACTTGCGCGAGCCGTTCGTGGAGGGGGAGTCGGTGAGCGTGTTCTCCCAGAAGCACGGGGAGTGGTTCCCGGCCAGGGTGGACCGGGCGCTGAAGGAAAGCGACCCGAGGCTCGGGTACGACATCAGCCTCGAGTATGTGGACGGCGCCAAGTCCAAGCTGCAGAAGCACTTGGAGAGGTACATCGGCAGGAGAGGAGATCCCACCACCCGCACGAAGGACGTCGCAGCGAGCGAGGCCGCTTCGATGACCACCACGACGACGGTGACGACGACGGCGACAAAGACGGACGGGAGGCCTTCGCAGGTCTCGGCGCTGCAGAACATGCCTGGGCAGGATAGGCTGCCCCCTTTGAAGAACATGCCAGCCAAGCGCCTACGGAGGCGATACGCTCCGGGAGACCAGGTTCGCCTGTACAAGGGAGCCGAGGAAGGTTTTTTTCCGGCCGAGGTCGTTGCAGAGGAGGTGGACGGCAAGCCGCCCATGCACAACTCCAATGCACAAGACGCCCTCCTCGACGAGGAGAGCAACGTCGACGGCGGCGCCGGCCTGGCTGGAGACACGCGGAGGAAGCGGCAGCGTTACGACATCACCGACCAGCGCCACGCGATTGTCAGAGTGAGGCAAATCGGCGCCAGTGATGCGCCCCAGGATGAGATCTGCATCTCAGTCCCAGAGTACCTCCTGCGCCAGGTGCCTCGTGGCTCGCATCGTCCTGGCTCCGAGACCAATGAGAATGGAAGCCCTCCGGCCGGCGCTGGGGCTGGCGCTGTGCAGCCCCTGCCAGAGGATGGGGAGGAGGAGGAGGAGGAGGAGGAGGAGGAGGAGGGGAACGCCGAGGAGGAGGAGGACGCCGAGGAGGAGGAGGAGGAGGGCAATGCCTCCTCCGGGCCGCGAGGCGGGCCCGGCTTCCACGAGGAGCACCTGGCGGAGAAAGAGGAGGACGTCCCGAGCAGGCTGGCGGGCTCCAGTGCCCCCCCGGCTGGCGCGGCAGGGCCCGGCTTCCGTGAGGAGGAGGAGGAGGAGGAGGAGGAGGAGGAGGAGCGGGTCGTGGTGTGACTGCGCTGGAGGGCGTGGGCGACTGGGACAGCCTGCTGGCTCTCTGGGCATGCTGCCTCGGGGCCCGTGCTGGGGAGCGTCCCAGCGCGTGCTGTGCCTCTCAGTTTGGTGCGTTCGTGATGCACGTGGCGGGTCCTTCGAGGCGGATTGTTTTCAGCCCGTGATGGCAGTGGTCTCTGACTAAGTGTTTCTGGGTTGAGGGAACCTCTGTCTGAATCAGAGCCCCCGGATTTCACAAGTGTGCTTTGATGTAGTTAGTGTTTTCTGCCGCTTTGCTCGGGCAGGTCGTCTGAGGTGCATAGTTTCCGCCAACGATGGCAGCATCCTCTGACAGAGCATTTCCATGTCGGGGAGCCTCTTCAATTTTGAGTCAGAGCCCCCAGGCGTCACAAGCTGTCAGACCCGACGTCGCGAAACACGTGAAATTCAACAAACATATGGCAACGCCCGGATCTCAGGGGGTGCTGCTTGATGTCGTGGTCTGTCCCTGGCGGGTGGCCGCTCTCCACGACACGCTGGAGCGGGCAGTGACGCTCGGGCTCGGTATTGGTGTGTGCCTCTCTGTGTGTGTGCGTGTGCGCGTGTGTGCGTGTGTGCGTGTATGCGTGTGTGCGTGTGCGTGTGCGCTTGCGTGTGCGTGTG